ATCTTCTCCCAGTTCATGGCTTGTCATTTTATTCTCTTTACTAGAGGTCAGATGCACAAAATTCGTGACCTGGGAGGGGGCGTTTCCTCAGCCCGGCCTGCATCCTCTCGCAGTCCGGGGCTATCACAGTTCAGGACCCCTCACTCTTTACTGCCCGCTTGCTTGCTGCTCCTTACTGCTCAGTTTGCTGCTCCTTAGTGCTGCTGCGGAGGCAGGAGAGGCTCCCACCACATCCGCTGTGCTTGCCAGTCATGAGCCCAGCTTCTGGCTGAGCGGCACTCCCCCTGTGGGAGTGCACTGACCACCAGGGGGCATCTCCGACATTAAGCATCTGCCCCCTGGTGGTCAGTGCGTGTCATAGCGACTGGTCGTTCCGCCGTTCAGTCGATTTGCATATTAGGGTTTTATTATATAGGATGTTGTTTTTTGAAGAACCAAAGTTGGTAAGTTTAATGTAGTCAAGGTTATCAGTCTTTAATTGTTTGTACTTTCTGTGTTCTAAGAAATCCTTCTCTATTCTGAGATTATAGTTTCCTATATGCTATTTTCTAAAAGTTATATTTATTTTTGCCTTTCACATGTAAGTCTTAATTTGCCTAGACTTGATTTTAGTGTATGATGTGAGAGAAGGATGAAATTTTATATTTTTTCTACACTGTCTTAATTGTTCTGATTTTGTATTAATATCTAAAAGGGTATGACTCACATAGAAATGTCACAAACATTCTTGGCATTTTTCCCCCACGTATGTCTAAAGTCAGCTTATGCAGTTCCATGAAAACTCCATTGGAATTTTGGTTATAAACTGTACTGATTCTAGATCAATTTAGGGAGAATTAATATCTTTATAATGTTCCCATTGATGAATAGGTATATGCTCATAATATCCTCTTATATTTAATTGCTGCTGCATCTGGATCATTTTTTTAAAATTCCTAATATTGTTTATTTGTCAGTGCCCCCACCTCTTTATTCTTGATTAGTCTTATGGAAAATTTTATCTACTTTTAAAAATTTGCTTCTTTGTGTGTTTTTTTTTGGTGGTAAACTATACAAAACATAAAATTTACCACTTTAGCCATCTTTTAGTGTACAGTTTTGTGGCATTAAGTGCATTCACATTGTTGTGCAGCACAATCACCCCATCCATCTCCAGAAATTTTTCAACTTCCCAAATGGAAACTCTGTGTCCATTAAACAACAACTTCCCATCTCTAACCCCACCCCCCAACCCTTGTCAACCACCATTTCACTTTCTGTCTTTATGAATTTGACTACTCTAGGCACCTCAATTAAATGGAATTACAGTGGGGCCTTGACTTACGAGTTTAATTCGTTCCGTGACGGAGCTCGTAACTCAAATTACTAGTATGTCAAATCAATTTTCACCATTACAATGAATTGAAATGCCATTAATCTGTTCCGGACACCCAAAAAACGAAGTTTTGCAAAATAACTGCAAGCACAAATTCGAGCACAACACTGATGCTTCAACTAAGAGCTAATCGCTTAAAGTGAACGAGTGAGACACGTGATGCTGGGCTGATGTTGTGGCGTTCACTGTGACGTTCGCTGCGCCAACTAGCGGTGGGGTATCTGAAGCTGGCTCGTAACCCGAATTTTAGCTCGCAACTCAAAGCAAAAAATCGGCCAAGAGATGGCTCGTATCTCGAAAAACTCGTTAATTGGGACACTTGTAAGTCAAGGCCCCACTGTATACAATATTTGTCCTTCTGTGACTTACCATGTCTTCAAGGTTCATCAGTTTTATAGTATGTGTGGGAATTTCTTTTCTTTTTAAGGTTAATATTCCATTGCATGTATATACTATATATTTTTATTCATTCATTTATCTATGGATACTTAGGCTGCTTCAACCTTTTTGCTTCTGTGGATAATGCTACTATGAACATGGGTGTACAAATATCTCTTTGAGTTCCTCTTTCACTTCATTTGGGTATATATCCAGAGGTAGAATTGCTGGGTCATACGGTAATTATGTTTAATTTTTTAAGGAAGTACCATATACTTTCCCACAGCCGTACTATTTTACATTCTCAGCAGCAATGCGAAAGGGTTCCAATTTTTCCACATCCTCACCAACACTTATTTTGTGTCTGTATGTTTTTAAAATTGCCATTCGAATGAGTGTGAGGTGGTATCCCATTGTGGTTTTGATTTGTATTTCCCTAATATATTAGCTGTTTCAAATTTTGGCTTTGTCATTTATTTTCATTGTATATTTGTTCTCTATTTTGTTATATTTAATTTTTCCTTTCATTACTTCTCCTGGGTTTATTGTGTCGTTTTAATTTCCTACATAGAATGCTGTTGTTGAAATAAGGACCACAGACCTAAACTTTTAAATTAGGACAGCTGTTTACTGACAGCCTGTACACGGGAAAAGAACACAATCCACAATTACATAGCTCCACTCCTTTGGCTCCTTAGAACCTTTAGTTACAAGAATTCTTTTCTACATGTTTACATTGATAATATGAGCAGAACTAGCCCAGTAATACAAGTCAGCCTCAAGGTCTGATTCTGAGAAATAGCATTCTCTATGGTTAAGGTTCTCTTTTTCTTTTTCTGTGGTCTGGAATATAAAACTTATGGGGAGAAGTTCCTTGTGATACAGGGCACAGCTTTGTAAAAATTTACCCAATGACATGGAGGGGATATAGTCACTTCTGGCAGGTCAGGGGTGAGTGGAGTCTTCATCTATGTATAGCTCATCAAATTAGAAAAGGCTCAAAATTCAGCCTTTAAAGTTTTGATATGTAGCATTCTTCTTATTGTTCATGCCCAAGTAATTTCTAATTTTTATTGTTTTTTTGGTTAGTTTTTTACTTAAAAGTAAAAACTTTTAGAAGTTTGGTTTTTAATTCCATGTAGATTATCTCTCCCTTGACTAGTTTGAAAGTTACACTTTCTATTTCTCTTAGTAGTTTTCTTAGCTATTTAACCAGCAATTTTCAACCCTTTTCATCTTGTGGCACACATGAACTAATTGCTAAAATTCTGCAGCACACCAAAAATATATTTTATTTTTTCGTCAGTCTGACAAAAAAAAAGGCATAATATTGATTCATTCACACTGGATGGCTATTGTTGTGTTGGCTAAGTTCATTGTTGTATTGACAATCTAAGGGAAAAGAGGTCAGTGCCCCTGACTTAACAGCCAGGTATTGAATGTTTTAAAAATTCTTGTGGCATATCTGATGAAAATTGCTTATTTAAACACATTTACTTAGAGTCTATTGTTAAACACTTTGACCTCTTCTCAAATAGAACCTCAGCATATTTTACTGATTACTATTCCCTTACCCCCCATATGCTATTTTTATTCAGAATTTTAATCCTCTCATTTTCAATACCACACATCACATTCTTATTATTGTTTTATATATTTAATGTATGTTTAAGTATACCTACATATTTACTACTATCTTAGTAATCCATCTTACTTCTCAGACCTTCCATCTGGGATCATTTCCTCTTATCTGAATACATCCTTCAGAATTTTCTTCAGAGGAGGTTGGCTGGCAGTAAAATTTTTGTTTTGCCCCAAAATGTCTTTATTGCATCCTCTTTATTGATATTTTTACTACACACGAAAATTCTAAAAATTGAGCTATTTTCTTATCCAACTGAAGATATAATTTTACTATCTTTTGGCTCCTATTGTTTTTGAAAACTCAGCTGTCAGTCTAAATCAGTGATGGTGAACCTATGACACGCATGTCAGAGGTGACACATGAACTCATTTTTTTGGTTGATTTTTCTTTGTTAAATGGCATTTAAATATATAAAATAAATATCAAAAATATGTCTTTGTTTTACTATGGTTGCAAATATCAAAAAATTTCTATATGTGACACGGCACCAGAGTTAAGTTAGGGTTTTTCAAAATGCTGACACGCCGAGCTCAAAAGGTTCGCCATCACTGGTCTAAATGCTATTCCTATGTATCTGTTTTATCTTTCTAGCTGCTTTTATATCTTTTTGTTTGTTTAAAGTTTTTCAGTTTCATTATAAAATGCCCATTATAATTTTATTTTCATTTCTTCTCCTTTGTTGGTCTTTCTGGATCTTAAGGTTAGTATTACTTAACAATTCTAGAACATTTTTTTTCTTCCCATCTGCTATAGAATTTCCTTTTGGAATTCTAATGACAGTATCTTAGGTTATCCTCCTAGTTTCTTAATCTCATTTCACATTTTCCTTCTCTTTGTCTCTCTGAGCCATATTCTGGATTATTTAGCTCTATTTCCCAGTTCAGTAGTATTCTCTTCAACTGTCTCTAATCTCTTTAATCCAGTGATTTTAGTTCCTATTTTTATATTTTTCGTCTCCAGAAGTTTCACTTCCTTATTTTTAAAGTCTCTGCAGATATTTTATAGTCTTTTATTCTTGTTCATATTTTCAATGCTTTTAAAAACCTTTCTGAAACATGTAAAAATATTTATATTTTTTATTGATATTTCCAATAATGAAGTATTTACAGGCCCAACTCTGCTGTCTGTTGCTTCTGCTGGCTTTACTCATGGAGATTTGCATCCTTGTGTTCTAAGTGAAAACTGTTTCTTCAGAGGAGATTTCTGTTCATATCTGAGAGTCACCTAGGGCTGTTTAGGGTAGTTACACTGCCATTATGCCATAGAGTATCTACTTTAATTTTCTCCTTTCTCAATGTTTCTTGAAAGAAACAGTTCCCCAGTGGATGAAAATATACTTTGGAGAATATGAACTAAGATATTGAAATATCTTACAAATCAAATTCTTCACCATTTGTACCTGGGTTCTACTTAGGATTTTTATTTGGCTGTGAATGTACCTCTAATAGGAAGTATAGTCCCTTCTGCAGTTTGGTTACTAAACCATCCCTATTAGCTCTGCTATAAATTACGAATGTTGAAAATGCTTGATTATTATTAATTTCAGTCACATTATAAAACACTGCTTAATAAATAACCCTATAATCATAGAAATGCACAAACCTGTGAGGGTCATCAGGATCACAGTTAGGAAGAAACTGAGTGATTGCTTCTGCCACTTCTTCATTTGATAAAACATCCCACAGTCCATCTGTTGCCAGGATCAGCACATCATCTGCTCCATGCTCATATTTGGAGAGATCGTAGATTCTTACCTGAAACGAACGGGAACACTTTGGCTTAAGAGGTTGTAAGCACATCATTCCCCCTAACGAACTGACTTCTGATCTCCAGTCCCTTTTCCTGCCCAGCCCAGTGGTTTGCAGGTATGAATTGTGAGGTACTCATTGTGCAGCAAGCTTGTGGGCAGGGTAGCTTCCTTTGGAGACTTGTACAGATATATGGGGCCTAACGGGTGGGCTTAATAGTTTGACAAAGAAGAAATGAACTGCCTGGCAGGTGTGGCTCAGTGGTTGAGCTTCCACCTATGAACCAGGAGGTCATGGTTTGATTCCCAGTTGGTCTACCCAGGTTGCATGCTCAATCCCCCGTAGGGAGTGTGCAGGAGGCAGCTGATCAAGGATTCTCTCTCATAGTTGATGTCTCTATCTCTCCCTCCCTATCCCTTCCTCTCTGAAATCAATGAACTGAAAATGTAATGTCTGAGATGTTGCTGGAACACTGACTTACAATAGATACTACGCTAGCCAGAGGCTTGCTTCCTTCTTTTCTTTGCATGTCCATTCTACAAACATCAAGGGCCTGCTCTGGGTCAGGTGCTCTGTCTAAAGATGAAGAGCAGATTTCCCTGCTTCTGAGTTCTCAGTCTGGGGGTGAGATAAGGCCAGACTAGGATCCTTAGTAGCTGCTCTGTATGTATTGGCCCAGGACAAAGGAAGCACTTTATTCAATGCACTTATTAACCACCTTTTGGCTTACCTGTTTGTTGTGCAGGGGACGCATCTCATGTAAGCATGGAGCTCTGAGGCTACACTGAGGTTTGAGGGGCCTCAATCTAGCCCAAGTTACAACAGACACATGCTCACATGCTAAGTCTGAATCTCCTAAGCGTGTCTTGGCAAATTTTAAGCCTTTCCTCATCTCTAGTGCCTGGAATGACTTGGGTATTTCAACATCCACCTAAAATCTCAGAAAAGAACAGAGTAATCTCGGCAAAACCATTAAGAATAAAAATCAAGCCTTATTTAGGTTAGGCCACAACTCTATATTCACCCTGCTTTGGCGGGGTGGGGTGAGGAAGAGTTTGGGATTTCATTGTTCCCTCCTAATTTGGCAGAACCAGCAACTGCCTACACTACCTCATAAGCTGAGACAAAGGCAGGTCAATTTCACCAATCTTCCAGCTCCTTCAACCCCCTCATTGCTCTCTTCTATTTTCTAAAAACAAGCCTGAGTGAAAGCGGTGGGTGAGGGGAGGGAAGAGAGAGGGCGGAGGAGGCAGTGTGAGCAGCTGCTCCCAGGCCCCATCACAATCATTACATCATCTCAGGTCTAGAGAGAATACACATTCTAAGAGGTCTACAAGCTGCTCAAATCCATGTCTTTGAAAGCCAAGCTTATGTTTTAGGACAGTTTTCCCAGGCCAGTGGCACCCTGCCACAGGACCGGTCCTGTGGACTAACAGCCTACACCCAGCAGCAGAAAACAGCTAAGTGCACCACACCTACCCACGGAGCCCTTGGAGAGTGAGCAGAATTGAAAAGCAGCCTCCAGGACCCAGGCTGCTGTGGCCTGTGACGTAGATGGTAACAATTAGCTAATGGCCCAGTGTGCAGACCACACTCTGGAAGAGCACTCAGGGGTATACAGTACCCCTTTTAACACTTTCTCAAAAGGCATGTTCACTTAAGGATGTTTACATTCCGGAGAAGGCAGGGTGCCTTATGAGGCCAAATTAAAGAAAATAAGAGGGAGGATCTTTAGTCTACAGACCAGAAAGACCCAAATGCCAGAATTCTATCCTTAGGCCACAGAATTCATGTGGTCCAACTTTCACTCTACAGAAGCAACCAAATCCCCTTAGCGTTGCTTTCTGTGGTTCCCGGGTGTCTTAGAGCAGTGCTTCTCAAATGCATAGAAATCAGCAGGGGATCTTGCTAAAATGCAGATTCTAACTCTGTTCTGGGGTGAGTTGAGAGGCTATATTTCTAATTTGTTCTCTCATGCTCCGAGACTGCAGGTCCTTGGACCGCACTTTGAGTACCAGGCTGTAGGGAAATCAAGGGCTTAGTAGCCTCCATGGTGCTTACATAGTTATCCCCTGGGGTGGGCTCAAGAGAAGATAGCTAGCAAAGGTCACTCTTGGGCTCCCAACTTCAAGTCCTGGCTCACTGTGTATGCACCAACTTTAAGAGAGACTGCTAGCTTCCTACTGAGGAATTTCTACAATGAATTTCTGTGATAATTCGAGCTCCAAAGGATAGAAAATGTTAACTAAAGGGAAATGGGTAGATATATGTATGTTAGGTGACCCAATCTTATGCTGATAGCTAAATAGCAGATTCTATCTACCTTCCAGGTCCTTCTAAAAGAGAGGTTTCTAGGTCTGAATACCATTATAATTCCATTCAATTTCAGGACCCGCCCTATGTGTAGGATGTCAAAATCTCAAGTACTTTCTGTTGGCCCCCAAAATGTGGAGATCTGAGTTATTCAAGCTGAAGCTCTCCTGCCCACTACTCAACTGGAAATCTGGTGAACAGAATGGATGTGGGTTGATAAATAGAAATATGTTAGAAAACACTCCTTTTCAATTCTGTCAATAAATTGAATCCTCCCTTAATTCCACTATTCACATTTCCACACACAGCTCTCTAATGCAGTTTCATTAGCCAACATGAAAATCCCTTTCAATACCATTCTCCAACTAATTTTTATGTAAATAATAAAAAGCTGGTCTCAACCGTATTCCCTGAGGCACTTCCCTAATTAACATCCTTTTAGGTTTCTTTTTACTGCTACCCTTTGTTTCCTGCCCTTTAGACAATTTCCAAAGGACTTTGCCAACTTTCCACTTACAACTCATGTCTTATACATTAACCTGTGATGCAGAACATTTTGTGAGAAAGCTTTCAGAAAAATTAGACTTTCATGCAAGACATCCCCCTGGACGCTCGACCTCCTCAGCGGCAAGGGCTTCAAAGGATTCCAGCAGGCTCTGGAGTCCTGACCTTCCCTCTCTGAAGCTGCAGTAGGCCCTCCTCGGTCAGACCACACTCAGCTCCCCGAAGTTCCCTGTTCCATTCCTTAAATAGCTTCTTAATGTTCCGGGAAGCCTCACATCAAGCTAATAGGCTTTGAGGCTCCCCGGGACTCAGATACAGGAAGAGAGTCTTTGAGGCCTCGGGAGGGAGAGGTGTGCCGTACAAATGCTTGTCTGAAGGGGAGCTGGAGAACATGTCAGGGCTTCCAGTGGCTCCTTCCTGCCTCACCGTCTGCCAAGAAAGGGAGAGAAAGGCCACAGGACTCCTTGAGATTCTTGCAGCTTCTCAGAGCAATTTCATTTGAGCAGCTGAGAGCTGAGGCCTGTGTGGCTCCATCTGCCTTCCTGGAACCTTCATTCCGTGTTGTTTATTGAGCAGTCACTGTGTGCCAACTACCTTTCTAGACACTGGAGATCCAGCTGTGAACAAAAGTGACACAGTCTCGCATGACTTCTAACCTAGGAGATGAGATAGACAAACACCACTGTCAGGTGATAGGTGCTCTGAAGAAGAATCAGGCAGGGGAAGGAGAGTGACGAGAGTCATTTTGGAAGATGTGATTTGGGGGGCCTCTCTAGGAAGGCACTATTTGAACAGAGATCTGAACAAGTGAGCTGATTTCCCACAGGTCCCTTCTTGTGCCTCTCCTTTCTTCTTTCCGGGACCCACCACTCCTCTGGATTAAGAGTGTGTCTGCCCGCCCCCGCCCCGAGGAAGACCAAAGTGCAGCAACTCTCTTCGTCCTGGGCCTTTGCAGTCAATCCATTTCCACCCGCCAGCACAGTCTTTACCTACTGCCACCCGTCTGGGTTCACTTGTCTGTCTTCTCTGCAAGGTCAGTTATTCTCAAATTTTAATGTGTTTAAGAATCCCTTGGTGCTAATTAAACAAATGAAGATTCCAGGGTCCACCTTTAAAAATTCAGATTGTGTAGCTCTGAGCCCAGGCATCAGCCTTTTTAATTAAAAACCAGGTAATTCCGATGCAGGTGGTGGGGGAACCACACCTCAAAAACTGTCCTAGGCAATAAGCTCCTGGGGGCACGTTCTGAGTTGTCCCATTTGTTTCTGTCTCCACAACAGAGCTGGCACTTGGTAACCATTCAATCAGTAACCAAGGGAAGCATTTTCCCTGTTGGACATTTCCCCTTGTCCTGCTTCCAATGAACACCCTGTGAGTTGGTCATCTTATCTCCCCCCCCCCCCCATTCAACCTCTAGGGGCCAGAGATACTGATCCCCCCCCCCCCCCATGGGCCTAGCAGTATCTTTCATAGTATAAATCAGAATAGATCTTCAGGACATATTTGCTGAAACAAAGAATAAATATGGAAGAGAGGAATGAGAAAAATTTGACATATGAGATCCATTTAGAAGCCCCCTAAGCTCATGGTGACCCAACAGACTTAGCTTGTTAACTCCAGCAGTCATCAAAATGTAATGCACTGATATTTAACAGAGAGCTGCTAACAAACAACAGACAGTGTTAGGGAGGGAGCAGGAATGAGTCGTGGTGGCGGGACACAATGAGTCACTGCTGAATGCTCTTGAGGGTCTTCGGCACTTAGAGATGTCCTTTATGTCATCACCGACCACCTATTTTACAAAGGAGCTATGACAAGCAACTTTTAATACAGCACCTCCACTTAGTAGTGTCTGGCCGCAGGCTGCTGCTTCAGCGCTTGTCTAAAACATGTTCGCATCTTTGCTCTATTACTGATGAAATTTCAATGTCATGTTAAGAGAGCTCATACCGGCTTCTTAAAACGACTTTTAAAAAGAATCCATCAATTCTTCCATTTGCCCAATCCTGGTTGCTTCTCTTGGATGCTCTCACGGCCTTTACATCTTGAGCAGCTCAGCAGATTCTCCAAACCTTTTTTCCCTTTTAAGTCCTCGGCGGAGGGCGAGGAGCTCCCGCAGCGCAGGCCTGGCTTTCTGGAGGAGCAAGAGCTCTCCCTTTGTCAGCAGGAGCCCTCACTTCAGGTCTCTGCTTCTAACTGGCTTTGGGACTTGGGACAAGCCATTTGTTTCCTTTAGCTATCAAGTTTCTCATCTCTGAAATCATTGTTAAAAAATTGGAAAAAGAATCATATTGTACACCTGTGTCTACCTCCCTCACAAAGCTGTTATAAAGATCAAATGAGATAATGTGGAAGGTCATTACAAATCCTCATGCACTACATGTTACTTTTCAAGGCACTGATCTCAGGGTGACACACCTGAAAGTCACCTAGTGGATGGAAGGAGATGAGTAAGAGTGGGCTCCGTGGACCTGGGATCCAGTTCCAAAAGTCTCATGTAAAATAACAGTCACTGGGCCCAGCCAGCATGGCTCAGTGGTTGAGCATCGACCTATGAACCAGGAGGCCGTGGTTCGATTCTCAGTCAGGGCACATGCCCGGGTTGTGGGCTCGATCCCCAGTGTGGGGTGTGCAGGAGGCAGCCCATCAATGACTCTCTCTCATCATTTATGTTTCTCTCTCTCTCTCTCTCTCTCTCTCTCTCTCCTTTCCTTTCTGAAATCAATAAAAATATATTTAAAAAAAGAGAAAATAACAGTGACGGGGACTCTCAGTAGTGTTTTTGGCAGAAGAGTCAGATTGTTCCCAAGGTAAAAGTGCCAACAGGTAGTAGAAAATAAGGAGAGAACAAGTCTTGTCCCCTGTATCCCATGTGGCCAACCAACCCAAAAAGCTCTACCCATAGAACTTTGCATGTGACGCTTGTACCAGAAGAAAAGAAAACTCTAGCATATCTCCTTGTGATTCTATACACCAAGTAGAATATTTCAGTATCGGCATTCTGGCACCGAGATTGCATCTAAATTCCCTATTGTGATTCTGTCTCCACTATACTAGTACAATGTCAAGAAGCACACACTGAATTTGGTGGCAAAAGACTTGGGTTTGAGGCCCATCTCTACCCCTTAGTAGTTAGCAAAACCACTTTGTTCATTCCCACTTCAGTCTGTTGACTCCTGCTAGGAACACTGAGTGAAGTAAAGATTCATCAGATGGAGAGTGTCAGGGAGCCGGAGTTGGACATCATACACCTTACATGTTAGAACATGCAGGGACCAGAGGCTGGGGATGTAAGAGAGGCCTGAGGGGCTGGGTGGCTTTCCATAGTTTGGTTTGGCCAAAGTGCTGGATTTCTGCTGTGAAGTGGCAAGGAACGAGGCACAACTTCTCAAATCTTCAGTGTCTCCCTGTGTGAAATGAAAAGGTTAGGACTGGGTGGCCACTGGGAATGCTCATGGGTCTAGCATTCTTCTAGTCTTTCATCATAGGATGGGTCAGACCTTGATGTGACTGACCACATGGCCTCAAAGCATCTGACTGTCAATGAATCAAGGGACATGTAAGTGTTACAGATATGTTGGCTGCTCATGCTACCCAAAAGGAGCTGGTTGTTTTGGCTGTGGGCATAATTGTATACTTTAAATATACCACAGGTATTCTTGAGGGTTTCTTTTTTCTTCTGCAATCTACAGACAAAATAAACATTTGACTTTGGAGGGGAGGTATAACCTAGTAGCTCAGAAAGTTTCTAAACAGCTAAAATGTTAGGTAGTGTGAAGAGCAGCCTGAAGTAGTACCCAGTGCCTGGCTGGCTGCTATGGCACAGGCTCCATTTTCTCCACAGGCCCGGGACTTTACAACTCAGGGAGGCGAGTAAGTTCCAGGGAGGAACTTCCTGCTTACATGGTGGGGTATTCTCACAACCTGCCCCTTTCTCTGGGCTTCCAATGGCTAGTTCACCACGGAATCAAAGGCTCATTGAGTAATCAGTGAACAAATGGGCTTGAATCTGGCTCATTCATCATTTGGGGAGTAAGTCTGTGCTCACTAACATGCCTGTTTACGGAGATGAGGGTCCGAGGAGCCCCAGCCTGCGAGTGGCAGTCCATGGGTGCCGTGTAGATGCACTGACTGGGTCACCGCTCAGGAGACAGCGAGGTGCACACAGAGACCACACGTCCCCGTCTGCCTGAGACAGTTTTGGTCTGTGTTGTTTTCTCAGTATTATTATTAATAGTGCCCCATTTGACTCTCAAAAATGCCCTGGTTGAGAGGCTACATTATATGGTCACTTGACATATAGAAAAGGAAACGATCGCTGCTCTTTACTCTTCTGGGTGCGACTGCCGACCAGCAGGACGGAGAGTAACCACGGCGTGTCACAGACAGTGTGGCAAAGTTTACAGTCATTATTTTTTTTAACTTCACTCTGCTTCACCTTTAAATCAAATCCACCATCAGTTCTAGTCACATTGTTTAGTTGGTTTGAAATGTCTCTTAGGTTTCAATCCCTGCCCCAGCTCAGCTCCTCACTGCCAGGAGTTTCAGTCCTACACCAGCTCCCTGCGTCCCTCTCTCCACCATCCACTCCCCACCCACCTGCTGTTCCAGGCTGCCTCCCATCACCGTCTTTATCATGCTACTCCCCTGGCTGAAGACCTTCTCTCCTGCTGCGGGTCCAGGCCAAGGCCCTCCACAACAATTAGGTTGATTAAATATAGCCCATTGCCCTTCAAGCTCATCTTCCAAGCTCTGTGACCCTCTAAGGCAGTGGTTCTCAACCTTGGATGCACATTAGAATCACCTGGGAATCTTTTTAAAATCCTGATTTCTGGGCCTCATCCTCCGGAAATTCTGTTTCTTTGTTATGGGGTGTGGCCACAACATTAGTAACAAAGAAACAGAATTTCCAGAGGATGAAGCCCAGAAATCAGGATTTTTAAAAGATTCCCAGGCCCTGACTGGTTTGGCTCAGTGGATAGAGCGTCAGCCTTCGGACTGAAGGGTCCCAGGTTCGATTCCGGTCAAGGGCACCAAAAAAATAAAAAAAATAAAAAGATTCCCAGGTGATTCTAATGTGCAGCCAAGGTTGAGAACCACTGCTAAGGCAAGTTTTATTCACACCAGACTCACTCCTGCTTTCCTCTTTTTCTTGTCCTACTTATCTTGTCCTTCTTCTGATTACATGGTTGTCTCTCCCTTCTCTGAATGCCCCTGGTCTCTTAGGAAGCAGGAATCACAGGTTTTATAGCTAATTAGTCTTTGGCTAGTCTCACCTCTCAACTGGCCCAAAATTCTAGCTCCTTGAGGACACGTTTCCCATTGTTCTCTTCGATGGACATCACTGGGCCCATGACCCCTCTAAAGAGCCAGGGAAATGTGTGGTGTCGATGGAATGTGAAGAGAAACTAGGAACTCATATGTTTTATGCCATGTTCTGTGCTAGGGACTTTATGTATGTCATTTGTTCCTTAGGTTCTTGGGTATAACAGCCCACTGTCCTCTTTTTTATTGAAGAGGAAGCTGAGATTTTCCCAAACAGCTACTGTGACCTTATTTGCGTAGAAGCTTTAAACAGCACATGACCTGGAGAATAAAGTCCAGACTCCTTCTTTTTTTTGGCATTCAAGGTCACGCAGCCAGTCTGAATTTCTAACCACTATATCACACTGCTTCCTGAGGTATTTGTGAAGGGTCTAGGGAATTTTTTAAAACAAGTTTTTCCTCTTCTATTACCCAAAGATAATTACTGTGACCATTTTAGAAAACTTCTAAATGGACTGAAACTTTCTTCAAGATTTATATAAACATAGACATGTATATGTGTGTACATACACATGTAACCTTTCTTTACCTACTTTGACCACAATCTTAGTATATACAATCATGTTGCTTCACTTAATATAGCACAACCACTGCCCATGTCATTACACACCAATGTTTCTTCTGACTTGGCCAGACTGTAGAGAATACACAATACAGTAAAACATTCTCTTTCCCCCAAGTGGGACTTTGGCTTGGGGCATGAGAAGCTACCAAGAATCAGACTGTAAATGTTAAGGTGTCAATGTGAGTTCTTAAATACTGTTCCTGTTTTCATGGGAGATAACAGGGGAGCCACAAACAAGAGAGTTCTTCTCCCTTAATGGGGAAGTCAGTCCTGGGAACCCCTCAGTGTGAAGCCTTCCAGAAGCCGGTGGGGAAGGCAGGCTTGTATTTACTGACCACGGAGCAGGCCTTGTGCCAGGCAATGCCATGGATGTTGTCGTCTGCTCCCCCAGCACCGTGTCGGTGCAGGCATTTCCACCCAGCCTGCAGGCAGGCCACGGGGGCCTGGGGCTGGGCTGGACTTCCGATGCCGGAGTCGCCGTTCTGCCTTCTTTTAGAGAAGGCTGTTTCTTTCAGATAAAAGGAAAAATCGTGTCTCAGTGAAGAAAACCAAGAATGGGCTAAACGAGTGAACTGGAGTTACAAACAACAGCTGCCAGGAATCTTGAACACGAAGGAGAGAAAAAATGAAGCCGAGAGGAAATCGAGCTCCCTGCGGTTCCGTCTGGCAGGAGCAGGAGGAGGAACGGCTGCATGGAGGAGGGGGTGGCTTTGCAAACTGGCCCCCATGCAGAAAAAGACCTCATTCTTTCAGGAGCTCAAAAGGGGGCAAAAGGCAACAGCAGTCTTAGAGTGGAGGCCGGAAAGTGTGAGCAACGTTAGAGGAATCCTAGCTCTGCGGAGGACCTGACACAGGCCAGAAAGGGGCATAGAGCACAGAACATCTGGAAGTTTGGGCTTCAGGCCTGGGCCAAGGTGCCTGCACTGTACAACATGATGTGTGTGCTGGGCTGGGCTGGGCTGGGCGAACTGCAGAGCTGAGGTGGAGGGTCTGGGCCCCAGTGCCTTTGGTTCACAAATCCTTCCTTCTCCCCTTGAACTCTTTAGGATGGTGTGAAAAAAATGGTGAATGGTGATGAGCTTCACTGAGCAACAGGATGGGAGACCTGGCTGGGAGGAGAGGCTGCATCTCATGCTGTCACTTGGAGACCACAAGATGCCGGGACCAGGGGAGGGTCAATGCCCCCCACCCCGGACCAGCAGGCCCGCGCTGGTTGGCGGGGCCTCTTGCGGAATTCAGTTCTTGGCCAGAAGTCCCTGCCGTAGACCTCAGGAGATCTGAGGAAGGCTCAGTAAACCTGGCGGCTGCTCTTCAGGTTTGGCAAACTCGAGATTTTTCCAGTGCCTTGCGTTCAGCAAAACTGAAAATGTGTTTGGCTAGAAACCCTCCTCTAATTTTTTTTTTTTTTTTTGGTAAATTTGATCCACATGCTTTTGATTTATTTTTATTTAACTCATCACGTCAGATTAGGAGCTACAATGATGAAGGGAACAGTGCTGATTTCCAAGAAGGTTTTTTAGCCTCTTTTCTTAGAACTAAATCACCTCTCCCCCACCCCACCGTTTCAGCCATCAGTCTGAGCTGGGTTTGTAATTGAGAACCCAAATGTGAAAGGGATCCATGCTTGGCAAAGACGAAGCACAGCGCAGGAATGCTCTTAGGAAGTCACGGTCAGAAAGCCGGGGAAGGGTGGGGCTGGCCGATGAAGACAGGAAGGGAGTCCGCTGTTCTTCACTGGATGGTTTAAATCCATTTACTTGGCTTCCTGGGCTCCCAACAGAAACCCTAGCTGTTTCTCTAGAGCAGGGGTGGGCAAACTTTTTGACTCGAGGGCCACAATGGGTTCTTAAACTGGACCGGAGGGCCGGAACAAAAGCATGGATGGAGTGTTTGTGTGAACTAATATAAATTCAAAGTAAACATCATTACATAAAAGGGTACGGTCTTTTTTTTTTTTTTTTAGTTTTATTCATTTCAAACGGGCCGCGGGCGTTTGCCCACGGCTGCTCTAGAGACTGACTTCAATACTGCCCCTCAGGGAAAGAAGCTCCTGTCCCCAGAATGGGGGTGAGGGTCTCCTGTACTCATCTTTTCTCTACACTCCTCCATGGTAGCCAATCCAAGGGGCTCCTCCTCTTCCCTCTCATCTCCCTCTGCCTTTCCTGGCTCTGCCTAAGGCCGCTCCATCTGGAAGCTTTTAAAATGTACAACAATTTTAATCTCGTGCAAAGGAATATTGGGATCTATACAACATACCCATTAAGCTAAATTATAGGTACACAATCTTATTTTGCACAATTCTGTCTGGCCTAGGTTGGCACACACTGAACGCCATTACTGCCTTTCCCAATTACTTTTTCTACTATATCATCATCTCATCTTCTCCTACAACTTAAGTCTGAGGCCGGCAGTATTTCTCTGAAAAACTGGACACTGAGGTCCCAAGACCAAGGTCTCTCTTCAGAGCCCCTCGAACCAGCACTCAGTGGGTCCCTTGGCCACTATCCAAAGAAATATCCTTGAGCTCGGCTTCTCTCCCCTACACACACTGATTGAGTTGGACAGACCTTGGTATAAATACCATCTTGCCACTTAATAACTGTACACTGTTGGGGGAGTTATTTCCCTTCCCTGGGTCTCAATTTCCCGTTCTATAAAAGGGGTATAATAATCACATGTAGTTCACAGAGCTGTGAGGATTAAATGAGATACTGCATATATAAAATAAATAAAGTATGTTGCCTGGTCCAGACTGAGTAGTTTAACAAATGTGACCTGTTATTATTATTCTAAAAACTCAACACTATTCAACTCTACACTTCTCTAAGACCATGTAAATTTTTCCAAAGATTGCCAGTTTCCTCTTGAATCCTTCCTCATTCCTCACCAATGTGGGACCAACCAACCCACTTCCCTGCAAACCGGCATCACTGAAGACAGATGACTGGGGTTTCTGATCAACCAGCTGGGAAGCTGCATCAGTCAGTCCTCAGGGGGTGTCCCACACAGGCCCAGTCTCTTCTTGGGATGCACAGCAGCAGAACGACTGGAATAGCTATAATTTAACTGCATTAGAGATCGTTCTCCTTCAAACCAAACCAAGCCTCTTCTCACTTTATATAGAAAGCATATGTGTGTCCGGGGGTGGGAGGTGAGAAGGTTTTCACTGCTTTAAGGAGCAAAATGGTTACTTAGCGTTTCCCGAGACACTCGCCGCCACGGGAACACGAGTCGCACTGCATCTGTCCCTTTTGGAAAGCAGAAAGGTGACGGCACCATTGAATATGTCTGATAAGTGCCTCTCCCAAGAGGGAAAACATAGAAATGCCTGAGGTTAGTATTGATTGTTTTTCTCTGGCCAGGAACCGTTTCAGCAGTAATCTATGGATCCTGATATGGACCAGAACCGAGGGACCAGGACGCTTTGACGTAATAGTGGTCCTCATCACGCAGAATTGCTAGGAGGGCTAAAGAGAGACATTTGCAAGCTCTTGATGAGTGGTAATTATCACTTCTACCCAGCTAACCTCACCTGACATCCTAGGTGATCTCAGGAAATCTGTGTGTCTTCCATGCCTGATACTTACTAGGGACCTCCCTATCCGTGGCCTCCTCTGCCTGTGGCTGGGTGTATTTTGGATGCCAGCCTCAGCAAGAGAAGAAACGATCCCTGCTCACAGCCCTGCCAAAGGGGCAGGCCTAGGTGACAGTGCCCACCGGTGGCTCTGGAGTGGACACACAGACTGAAGGGGCAATCTACAGACGGGAAAGTCACTGCGGCCAATGAGATTCCCCTCTGGTGATCGGGACCCGGGAAAGGGAGAAACTGGGTTGACCGGCAGCAGAGACATAGAACCTGGCTGGTCCCATTAATGGCAGCACGCTCACGAAAAGGACAGCCTCCCCCTGCTGAGGCTCTCCAGGACGCACTGGGCCCAGGACCACCTCCCCACACAGCCCGGCTGCTTACGCGTTCTTCTAGTAGACACTACAAACATCTCTTCCAACTGCTTCAGAATAAACATGTCCCTTTTTCTGAGTTAGCTTGAGTGGGTCTCTGTTTCCTCCAACAGAAAGAGCCTTCGCTCACACAGCTCCGCCCCTTGGGAAGAACATGCAGATGGAGCCCTGGCTGAACATCCTGGGCACTTCCAGCGCAAGGCATCGCTTCAACAACCAGCCCCACGGGAGGCAACCCGACTCACTCCTCCCTGGCTCCCTTCTACCGCAGACATCCAAAAAGTTAAAGCTCTGCTCCTCCCGGCCTCCCCTGTAGCGAGGGGCGGTCATGTGAGATAGTCCTGGTCAAAGATTTGCAAGTGAGTGTCTGTCAGGACAGAGAGTAGCGTCCCTCCTGTGTTGCGTGAAAATGTCATGCTTGGAGCTGCGGCCACCATCTTGCCACCGCAAAGTGAAAGTCAGACAAGAGAGATTCCAGCCCTGGCACATTGGGGATGCTATGCCACTGGCAGCCCCCAAATAACAGATGCCTTGTTATGTGAGAAAAGTATATCCCTAAACTACCATTAGATTTTTCTATAACTTAGAAGCAAAATCTTTTTGAAATTATGTACTCTGAAATAGACCTTGATATTATTTCCTGTATTTTATGAAAAATGATTTTTTTAACCCAAATTTATGACTAGCTTTTCAATTAGCTTCTCCATATATCAACTGAATGATAGCAGCTCTCCAGGTAATTAAAAATCTAAGAGGAGAGCCCTAGCCGGTTTGGCTCAGTGGAAAGAGCATCGGCCTGCGGACTGAAGGGTCCTGGTTCGATTCCGGTCAAGGGCACGTACCTTGGTTGCAGTTCCCCGGCCCTGGTCGAGGTGTATGCAGGAGGCAACCAATTGATGTGTCTCTCTCACATCAATGTTTCTTTCTGTCTCTGTCTCACCCTCTCCCTTCCACTCTCTCTAAAAAGCAATGGGAAAAATGTCCTTGGGTGAGGATTAACAAAAAAACAAAACAAAACAAAATCTAAGAGGAGAGAAAAATATACATCACCAACTATGCTATAAGGCAGAAAGTGCACACGCTGTACTAGTAAGAGGCAGCTGCTCTCCATCTGGAGTAGCGGGAAGACATTACTGCTGATTGAGGGGGGCGGGGGGAGTCACAGAAGTCTCCACAGGAGGAGCATTTAAGTTAAATTCTAGAGAAAAAAAGAATTTGGGTGGATGGAGATGGGTAGGAAGGGCATTAGAGGTAGAAGGAATCGGTTAAGTAAATATGGGAAACTGGAAGTCATGTGTAGGAAATAGTAAATTCCTTCAGGCTGCAGCAGGGGAACAAAGATCAGATTAAAAAGACCCATTTACAACAAGCCTTGAATGCCAAAAAAAGGGAGTCTGGGCTTTATTCTCCAGGTCATGTGCTGTTTAAAGGTTCTACGCAAACAAGGTCACAGTAGCTGTTTGGGAAAATCTACTTAATAGCCATATGTGGGGTGGATTGAGGAGGCTGGGGATGCCGCTAGGAGGCTATGCAGCTACCAGGACAGAGGCCATGAGGGTAGAAACAGGACAGTCAATGTGAGAATGGGGTGGGAAGGAGCAACAGACATGAGAGAGAGCACAGAAGTACATGCTAGACAAGCCGACTGTAGGTGGATATGGGGTGAGAGTCACAGGAGGAACAAAGGAAGAAAATACTTCTTGGTACAAAATAGAAGCAAAAACAGTACCTCTGGAGCTGAAGACAGGAATGGCTTTATGTAGATGTTGGAGTCATGCACCTTCAGGTCATGGTCCCCCAGGCCCCTGGTCACTCCGATAGTTGCCATCACTCGGGCCTGGGAGGAAAGCAGAGGGTCATGAGAAACACTCTCACGTACGAGCAGTGCAGCCGCCATGGGCCCAGAGAGAAGCAATACTTTCCCAATTCCTCTTGCCTCTTGCTACTAACCAATGTGGGTAGCTGTTTCCAAGGAAGGGCTCGCTCACCAAGATCACTTATGTCCTTAGCGAGTGGCTTTTCCACCAGTTATCTTAAGGTTGATGGGTGGCTGTTGTCTCTTTCCAGCTTTCTTTTGTAGAGACTGGAGGGAAGGGTGTCCAATAAACTAAACCCAATACACGTGTGATGTCTACAGCTACTAATCTCAGTTCCAACCAAATCCAACAGCATCCATCCATTTGTCCACCTGTCTGTCATACACCCACTCCACAAGTACTTGCAGAACACCAGCTATATCTCTGGTACTGTAATAGGTACTAGATGCAAAGAAGTCAGTGGCAGCTCCTATCCTCCCAAAGCTCATATTTTACACTTTATAGCTGGAGAAAATAAACCATTAGCAACGTGCAACCTTCCCTTTCTCCACAAATCCCCTCTGGGGATTACCACACAGAGGCCTCCAGGCTGAGACCCCACCACCCGTGCGCTTCTGGTTTTCTGAACACTTTAAGGAAGCAAGACTATTACTCTTAATGCCTATGCACTCAGCCTTCATACTGCCCAGGATGCCACAGATTTGATCTACCCAGACATTTAGTGCAGACACCATGCTGTGGGGGACAAATGTCTATGGACTCGTCCCTACTATAAAGGAACCTGGTAAGGGAGAGAAGGGGCACATGGCTAATGATATATAAAATATGGCCAATATGAAAGACATATAAACAATGGGTGGTGGGAGTTCAGAGGAGGTAAAACTTCTGCTGAGAAGGTTCCACGGAGGTGGCACTAAATTTCTATGCAGAAGCACAGGCAGCATCCAGACGGGTAAACACAGAGGGAGGAAGCTCATTCTGGGTGGGATGAAGCTCAATGCCCTAACACTGGGTCACCAGTGATGTATCTGGTGTATGTTCAAAGCTCCGAGCTTGAATCCTCACTTCATTGCTCGGGTAATAAGAATAACTCATAAACGCTAAGAAATCTTACAATCTCACACATCACCATCACCTTCCTCCTAGTTTCCCCAAAAGTCTGTGGAGTTTGGAGCTGGTTTTAGATCAGAAGGTGGGCAAGTTTACATTAAACGTGGAAATGAACGCATGACATGCTTTTCAAAGGCAGGAATCTCAGGGGGTAAAATGCAGACACTGATGTGAAGCTGGGCCCCCTGGTCTCAGCACCTGGCTGCAATGTCTCTGTCTGCAGGAAGAATGCAGTGACTCAGGCGTTTGTCCTGATTGGGAACTGGCTTCAGAGCCTCATCTTCGCTCCAGGTCGGGGAGCCACGTCTCTGCAGAAACCCTCTGCTCTGCCAACGTGGGGACGGGGCCAGCCCCCTCCCAGCTGGTAAGTGTTCAACTCGAGATGCGGAAACTGTCCCTGCTCTTCTCCCTGCACTGGCACCTCCTCTGGCTGCAGGAAGCACAGGTGGGCGTGTTGGTCCAAAACACAGTGATGTTTCTGATAGTTACTGAATTAGTTTACAAAGTATATAGTGTCACCCACACAAGGCTGAAAGCACTGGCAGAAATAAAATGAAAGGTGACAGCTGTGGTATTCTATTCGGAAATTCCGGGGCAGGCATATGCAGAGGGAGGCGCCTAAAGGATGGGGTGGCACGGACGGATGGATGGACGGACGGACGGACGGACGGACGCGCTGCCGGTGAAGTTGCCTCGGGCTGCCTGGGTGCGGGGCAGCCGGGCGACAGAGCCATGCGGCCTTTAAATAGGTCACAGCTCCTGCGACAGCACCGGCCAGCTGCACATCACAGGGCTGCCGAGCCCCAATTACCTGACACGCCAGAGAAGTGCGATGTCCTGGTAAACTGAACTTTCCCTTGGCTGGGAAAACCTTGCTCCTTTAAATCTTTCTGTTGATAATCTTCGAAGAGCACATTTGTCCATTTTCGTTATGTGAAGGACGTACACTGAACGTAAGGGAGTGGCTGACTCAATCCTCATGCAGTTGCTGAAGGCCTGCCCTGTGTCAGGTGCCGGGCTTGACAGGGACTAGGATACAGCCCTCAGAGGGCGTGGCCCTGAGCCCCCTGGTCTCACTGGCACCGCAGGAGACACAGAGAATCTCCAGGTGCCGCTGGGGCACTGGGCTGAGCCATCGCATTAATGGTACCCAGGGTGCGGAAAGGTTCCAGTACTTCTCTCGGGAACAGAGCTCTGCCTTGTCACGATCCTCAACCATGGACCGTGAGGTGGGTGTCCCGTCTCCAGGAAAGGGGCAAGTTCGTTTGAAAAGTGGTCGCTACATGGATCAGACAGTCATGTTTCACTTCCCTCCATGAAATGCCTTCCCATGAAATCACCGCTGGGCTCCACGCAGCTCTCAAATCTAACTGACTCATTCTCTCTCCCTCTCTCACAGATGCATACACACACACACACACACACACACACACACACACACAGAGTTCTGCTCAGGAAGGCATCCTCCAGTTTTCTTATGAGTCAGTTCCTCCTGCTAAAAACTATCAAATGCTGGGAAAATGTCAGTTGAACATTCTTCTGAAAGTGGCCACATTCTTCCCTGCTCACTGGCACTCTCAGCACCTGGCTGGGACGTCTCTGTCTGCAGGAAGAATGCAGTGACTCAGGAGGTGTTTGTTCTGATTGGGAACTGGCTTCAGAGCCTCCTCATCTCCGCTCCAGGACGGCAGCCTCCCCCAGGCTCTGCGCACAGACCCTCTGAGACGACAGCTTCCTCCGCGTCAGCAGTGCCTGCTGCTCAGCGTGCGGTGCTGACGGGGCCTGGGTGCGGGTGAGGAATGCTCTGTGCTGTCCCAGCATGCGCTCGGGTCCATGTGGTCCTACAGCTTCGTCACAGTAAGGCTCTGGGTGCCCTCCCACAGGCCACGTGGAGAAGCAGACTTGCAGGTGGGGTGTGAGCACGAGGAGGAGGCAGAGGGCCCCGGCTGCGCATTGGAGACCACCCCTTACAGCTGCGTGGCTGTGCCTGAGAGGTTCTGACCTTGAGTCTCAGCTGCCTCGTCCGCCAGCTCTGCCTGCCTGTGGCTTGTCAGATGCACAATGCGCTGATGTATGTGAAAGTGGTCATGTTGCACACAGTAAACGGGAGCTGCTATTTTCACAAAACTTGACTCTCCCCCCCTGAGCTCGCTGCACCCCTCTCAAACCTGCCACTCCTGGGGCCCTGAGGACAGGAGGCCTGAAGGACACGGGAGGTGACTCAGCTGTCAGGGCCATAGGACAGGCGCTGCAGAGTGGAATGCACAGGCCGCCCCGGCTCTGCAGAGACGGCCTTGTTCTCCGTGTGGGGGAGGTGATGCCTACCTTCTTGCCTTCTCCGTATATTAGGGGAAACTTCAAGTCATCATCCTCAATGGTTTTGTATGCCCTGTAGGGGGATAAACAACATTCTTTAACAGGTTGGCACTCAATTAGGGATCCGCTCCCCTGACACGGCTGCTCGGTGCTGTCTTTTCCCCGAGACTCCATCCGCTCAGCACACTGCCAATCTCTTTCTTTATAAAGAGTTACTCTCCCTACAGAATTGTGTGTGTGTGTGCACATATGTTAATGAACCAGAAAATAAGGTTTTATATGCTTGAAGAGGGAAAAACTAAGTTGGCCCATTCATAATGAGCAAGAAGGGGAGGCGGGTTCCCGTCCTGAGCACGTGGTGCCATGGGATAATGCCCAGCATCGTGACAGGGCCGTGTCATTAACCTGAAACTGTGCGAAACAGCGGAGCTCTGACATGGATGGAGAGTGAAAATGCGCCAAGAGCCAGTTCTCACCTTCGGGGGTTGTTTACACCAAAGCAGCCTGGTGTGGGGATGGCTGGAGAAGGGATATTTAGAGCCTGCTTGACCTCAGTGTGATATTCAAGGTTGGCAGAAAATTCTGTTTCACAATAGCTATTAAATGGCCATTCGACACACAGAAAATCCGGTTTATGCTTCAATGGTTTCAGACATGGTTGTCCAGATGCCATGCACACACGGCGGAGGCCAGGGCTGGGGAGCAAATGAAGCCCGTGTCTTGCAATTTTGCTCATCAGGAATTTGAAAAACAAGCCAACAAACATGGCACCCGATTACCACCTGCGCCCTGGGCACGTGGCTTCACCTGTGTTGGTCTCGGTTTCCTCGTCTAGAAAACGAGGGTAATCACGCAGGATGTAAACAGCTTAGGTCAGAGCCTGGCGCTCAGTAAGGACCCAATTAGCGAGCTACTACTAATATTTAGGACATCATTAATACTTGGCACACCAGTTCCCCTCTCTTCAAAATGGAGATGACACTGCCTACTCACCACCTCAAAGAAATATTAGGAAGACGAAGTAGAGGCTGGGGTGGGTTCCACTAGGTTAGGTTCTATAAGCAAGATGCTTTTCTAAAATAATGTCTCCTGCCCTAGCCAGTTTGGCTCAGTGGATACAGTGTCGGCCTGCAGACAGATGAGTCGTGGGTTGGATTCTGGTCAAGGGCACATGCCTGGGTTGCAGGCTCGATCTCTCATGGGGGGTGTGTAGGAGGCAGCCAATCAATGATTCTCTCTCATCATTGACGTTTCTATGTCTCCCTCTCCCTTCCTCTCTGAAATAAAAAATATATTTAAAAATAAAAAATAAAGTAACGTTTCCTGAGGGCATGAAAAGAACTAAATTGCAAAATAGCCTCCCAGTCCTGATATATCGAGGCAAGTTGCAGCTGTGAAAAAGAAGCATCTCTTACCCTTTGAGGCAGCATGGAGGGCCCTGGAGAGTATCATGCTAAGTGAAACAAGTCAGTCTTTGAGCGGTTTTAGGCACTGTAAGGGGGGCTGCTAAAGGCATTAGAAGTGGGATCACTGGGTCAAATGGCAGATCCACATTTAATGTTTTGAGGAAACCTCATACTGTATAAGTCAGTAAGAGAAAGACTTACCTCGATATACAAAAAGAATGCAACCCAATTTAAAAGTGCAACCCCAAAGCTAAAGCAGGAAGTTACTTAGTGAACGTGCTCCTCCCCAGGGGCTAGGCTGGGCTCAGGTTCAGCACCGCTCTCTGAGCAGCCCTGGGCAGGTAGATGAGCCTCTCTGGACCTCAGGATCCTCATGATCACAGGGCAAAAACAGGCTAAAAAACTGGCTTGTGAGGCTTCCAATGGGCTAGTGAATGTGACGAGCTTAGGGTGCATTCAGCACAGTGCCTGGCACAGCTGAGACCTGGCACGGGCTGGGACTGTTGTCAGGTGAGCCCAGAGGTGCTCTAGAATTGGACTGTCAACATCAGAACCTCCCGCCCCTAAATCTATCAAATTTCCCCAAAGGGGAAATAGCTCCTTAAATGTTTTCATACTCACAGGAACTATTTAAAACACTGTAGTATACAAGTCATTGGGGAACAAGCAGCTATTATTAGAACACAGACTCAGCTTGGGGTTGAATGGGTCTGTAGACCAGTGGGTCTACTGCAGGTTCAGTCACCTGGGAGGGCTTTAAAGCATCCCTTTGCCCAGGTCACACCACAGAGCAATGAAGTCTGAACCTCTGGGGGTGGGAACCAGGCACTGGGAACTTCTCTAGGCTTCCCAGATGAGTCCAATGAGCAGCCAAGGTTGAGAGTTACTGCAGTGGACCAAGTGTCATTAGGGAACATTGAAATGCAGCTGAGCGACAGCCCCCTGGCAGCTTGACCCACAAGATGACAGACGCTATGACTCAGGGGGGACGGGGGAAATGGCCTAAAAAAGGCTCTGAAATGAGCATGAGCTGGACGTGGGGACCATGGAGGAAGAGGTGTGGAGAGTGAGAAGACAGGCTCAGACGGGTGGGGACAGCACCGGGAGAGGGGCTGGGCCAGGGGCCCAGGCACAGGAGCCTGAACTTCAATGGGAGGCAGCAGGCAGCAGCTTGAGAATCAATGACTGGAAATTACTTAGTGCTCCGGAAAGACAGGCTAAGAGCACTCTTCACAGGTGTGGAAAGGCAGCAAGAAAACGGTTCACTGACTCCACCACAAGCCCAGGGAGTCAAATTCTCCAGGGCCCAGAATTCCAGGAGCATGAGGTCTGCGTTAACCATCGCTCTGAAAGACGGACATTGATCTTGGAATTGTCACCCGCAGGATCAAGACAATTCTAAGTTCTAATATTGTATTTTAGCTTATGTATCTTTATCTTCAAGAACAAAACAATCCCACTAAAAATAGAAGAGAACTCTGGATAAGGAAGGGTTATTCTGTTTCTGCCATTGTTGGTTTTCAATCAAATGTGAGCCCTCCCCCACAGATGACCAAGGTGGACAGCTATAGATAAAAAGAGAAAGTACAATACCCTCCCCCTCAATCTTTCGGGGTCCTAAGCACAGTTCATCATGAAGGTAGCTGGACTTCCCTCCATATTTAAGGTCTTGAATAATAAAGAACAAAAGGCTCGAGAGTTAAAACTGGTAACTTGATTGAAGAGTCTGTATAAATGAAGGCCCACTAACAGTGCCAGCACCTCTCCATGCCGAGCACTGAGCGTGGTGCTTGCTTACAGTGCCTAAAACCACTCAAAGACTGACTTGTTTCACTTTGCATGATACTCTCCAGGGCCCTCCATGCTGCCTCAAAGGGTAAGAGATGCTTCTTTTTCACAGCTGCAAGTATTCCATGGTGTAAATGTACCACAGCTTTTTATCCACTCATCTGCTGATGGGCACTTGGGCTGTTTCCAGATCTTCGCTATTGTAACTTGTGCTGCTATGAACACAGGGGTACATACATTCTTTCTGATTGGTGTTTCAGGTCTCTTAGGCTATATTCCTAGAAGTGGGATCACTGGGTCAAATGGCAGATCCACATTTAATGTTTTGAGGAAACTCCATATATAAGTTAGAGGAAGACAAGTATCACCTGACCGAACTCATGTGGAATTTAAGTAACAAAATAAACTGATGAATGGAGTGGACCCAGAGACATGGAAGCGTGGAACAGAGTGCGGAGTCTCAGAGGGAAGGCGGGGGAGGGTGGGTGGTGGGAAGTAATCAACCAAAGACCTGGAATGCATAACCCATGGACACAGACAATGGGTGCTGAAGGCCTGGGGCGGGGTGAGGGGACAGGGGCGGGCTGGAGGGGGTCAATGGGGGAAGAAAGGGGGCATATGTAATACTTTCAACAATAATTATTAAAAAAATAATAAAAGTACATAAAGACCTTATACACAAGGGGACTGAAGCTCAGAGACATTGAGTTACTCTCCCCAGATCACACACACGTTAGTGACCCTCAGACTAAACTAGACTTTCCCAGAAAACACACCAAAGAGACGTGATGTCAGGGCTCAGCTCTGGGGATTTCTTATTCTAGTTGGAGAGACTCAAGGAGACCATTGTTGTCCACTTCTCAGTGGGTGAACAGCAGGCATTTGATGAAGGGGGACTTTGGGCAAAAGAGGAAGGTGAATTTTCTATATGAGGTAAAAGAACAAAAGGTGACCACGTGTGGACAAAACTAGCAGCTGCTGCACTACACAGTCTACAAGGGAAAACAGAAAAGGCGGGGCTGCAGCCCAGGTCACCGCGTCTGCGGTCAGAGTCTGGGGGAGCCTCTCCCACAGACAGCAGGCTCCTCAGGTCTGTTCTCGCAGCTTAAGGGCCACCCCACTTTCTGCCCACCTGAAAGGCCTGCCTGCTGTTCAAACTTCACTATGGTCCACGTCTGGGCTGTGGGCCTGAATCTACGCGTCCAGCTCGGCCGTGGCTTCCATCCTTCTCAACCGGGGGAGGCGAGACGATCAGGACAGAGGCTTGAAGCCTGAGAGCTCCAGGACCAGGACATGGAGGCACTCATGACCGAAGATTAATGAAAAATGACTCTTCTTTCACATCAGATCCTACGATTTCTGAAATCCTGATTAAATTTTTAAAAATAACTCCCAAAACGGATTACTCACTAGTTTTACAATAGTATAACTGGGCAGAGATCATATTCAAATAATTACTTGAAGCGTAGCTGAAAGGCTTAGAAAGATTTTTAGAATAACTCTTATTTTGGATCAATTCCTCTATGAATATTTATGAGGCCAACTGACAAAAAGATGAGACGAGAAAAAAATTCAAGGCTTAAAAAAGGGCCAAATTAAAGGCTTTCTCTAACACTGGGCAGTATCCTCAGAAGATGCACTAAACATCGTTTTAAGCAGTCGTTCCCTCGCCATGTGGATTCTGCAAAGCTGAAAAGAACAAGGCACCAGCTGGT